AGGCAAACAGCTTGGTTATTGATTAAAAGGTTTAGTCCTGTCTGTAAAACATTCCCACAGAATGTGAACAGCTAATAATAATAGTGACCCTTGTGATAGTCCCACCCACTCTTCCTACCTATCTTTCACCTACTCTGTTTTTGTAGTTTGTGTGCGGAGTTGGGTTGTTTGTTATCTGAGACCTCTGTGCAGAGGTGACTGTCCTACTGCCTCTGTGAGTCTCTCCCCTCTCTCTCATTGCTGGACTCCATCCTCCCCAACCTGCCTCCTTTATTTGTTTGGTTCACTGATATTCCAGAAGAATTATTTTAGAATTCCCCCTCAACAAAATTTTGCTCTCTTCTGCTGTGTGCTTATCTGTACACACTTAAGTTAAAATTGTACATATTTTTACCCCAGTGTTTTTTCATTGTATAACCCCTGGCTGAGAGCTCGTTAATAATAATGATGGTGATGATGATAATGTTGACACCTTATAATATATACTATAATGTAGACTTATTTATATTTTGGCTGCCAGGCCAGTGAAAATATACAAGGAACCGGTAAAACTCTGATCAACTGGCAAAATGTGACAATAGGGAGAGAAAAGTTATGTTGGAACTGAAATCAAAAGCAGTGGCCATGTGATTCAAATGACCCCATCTACGTTGATGAACACGTGACATCGACTGCACTTCTGTCCATTCTGAGAGAGCTATCCTTCATAGGTGAGTCTATGAGGCAAATTGTAATTTCTGAACATGGGCTATACAGACAAAAACTGTTTGATTGGTTGAACACATCATTGATTCGCTTCATGATATTCTGACATGGGTACTAGGAAACTAAAATTCACTCATGATTCTTTTTTTAACCACATATCAATAACGTTGTACTTGTAAATTCAGTCCCTCCAGTGAAAGACCACGCTGATACTTAGTCACATCATTTAACATCCTCTAACCACTCTCATCTTCACCTACCTCCTCCATGACTTTGACACAAGTAGGGAAATCTCCACACGTTGCCGATCCCAATGCAGAAGCCCACGCAGGTCAGGATGTACTGGGCTTTGTTGTCCCACTTTGGCCTGTCACTGATGTCTTCCTCCTCCATTCTCTCCAGATCCTTATAGTTGGGGATCCGCAGATCCAGTCCTGGGTTAGGAAGCGTCAGTCTCATGGCGACCACTGCTCAGGATGTGAGGTGTGAACACTAGCGTTCTTGGAAGTCAAAGTGACGGCTTGGAGCGTGCACTTAGCAGGCTTGAGGCATGTTTATGATCTTTAACTTTATCTGGTGCAGTTCAGATTAGTTAGTGCACAGTCAGTACTTCTATTTTATATCACCACACTTGCTGAGTTGTTGGCTCGAAGAATTTTACGAACGTGTGGGCAGGACTTTTAAATAAAGAGAGCTCACCAAACCAAATTTAACTGTACAGCGGACGGTCTCACTCGCTGAGTGGAGTTTCTCCTGGAGTTTGAGTTGAAACCTCTAGATACCTGTGAACCTGCCATGTCACTGTATTTATGAACTCATTCAAAATAAATGGGACGATGGATATTACAAAATGAGGAAAAGTGTATATACAGTTACTACTCAAAACTGACACTCAACAATGTTTCCAGTTGTCCTTTGCTAATAATTGATATGTGAATAATAATCTAATAACAGTTTTCACTTTTACATCTGTTAACATAGAGATGTACACACTTTGTTGTTTGATGGTATCGATTTTAGTAATAGGCTGTACTATGTAAATGATGATGATGTAATTAACAAGGCCGCATCACGAAGCAGGCAAATGCCCAGAGCCCCAGATATCCAGGCTTCCCCAAGAAGTTCCAGGCTTTTTGGGTCATGGTCACACGGAAGTTAATGCAGGTCTACCTCAGGTCAAAGTTCAACAAAGTCGAAGCCCATGCTGCTGACTCAACTCGCCACAGGAAGCGAATGTTTTATTCGCCTCACTCACTCACACAGATTCAAAAAGAGGACACAAAGGTTCACCACTGCTATGTTTGCATATATTTGTAACCGTCCCCTCACTGTGCAAAATTAGGTTGTGCTTATTTATTTTATTTGGGATTCAGGGCTTAAACACAATATCAGCGGGTCTAAGGCCCTAAGGTGGGTCCTGTTTTTATGGGCCCTCTACGAAAATCTGGTTTTAGGTCTTGTTTCAGGCTTCATGCTTGTATGTTGAATAGTCTCACTTTGATGGATCCAATGCTTAGTCATTCAGTTCAAACCGTGACTGTAACTCCAGTATTTTTCCATCCTGTTGTAAACATAGACCAACCCATCTTGTAGCTACTTTTATGGCAGAGGTTCACATCTCCTCCTTGGACTGAGCTGAAGCTCGTCCCAGGGACGAGACCCTGTACTCAGTAATAATTCAATCGGTAACTTATAAGATGCTTATGGGGCACTTTATTTCAAAGTCCCCTTATCATATAACCTCATTCATTCCTCAT